GTAGAAGTTTCGAGAACTACAAGACCATTTGGTGAGCAGTTGCTTTCAATGATTCATCTTCAGTCCATTGCAATCATATGGGGGGGGGGGTAAAATAGGAAAATCGATGGAGTTTAAGGTTACAAATACGATAAAAATGCATTACGCGGCGTTAATCGGTTAATTGCATGTTGCTGATTTTGACCTGAAGCATTTGAGCTCTGCGTCTTCGATTTTCGCTGGCCAGGGAAGCTGTAGTGCATGGCCTAGTTCCTCTTGCGAGCACAAGCAGAAGTTAAACAATCGCATGCAAATTGCTTCGGCCGTGACAAGTGTACGGAGAAACCTTGTGCACTATTCCAAAGGCATGCCTTTAGATCAACGTGATGCCCAGAGTGGACGATAGGGGCTAGGACCGAGCTGCTAATGACCCCAGAGCTAACGTGGGCAGTGTTCACGCGTTTGTGCAAGTACCGTGCCGTGCCATGCCGATATATGTGGCATCACAAGCGCACTCGAACTAATGAATAATCTTGGAGGCGGTCAGCATTGGTAACTTGTTTCGTGCACTAATCAGTGGTTCGGTTGAAAACGTTCATTTTAACGCGGAAGTTGTGAAGACCGACTGAATGGCGACTGAAAGACTTTAGTTAATCGCTCAGCAGCTACATCCCTTTTAAGAGGTAACGGTATGAATAACTCTTTCTTTGTCACTGTTAACACTGGCATTGGTCTAGGTTATCTTGAAAGTTCCTTGATATAAATCTGTAGGAATATCCATTTTCGCGCAACGTATTCTGCATGAACATCATTTCAATTTCAAAGGTGTCATACGAGCAGATCCGACGTGCTGTCGAGGTAAGACAACAAATTAAGTTGTACTTATCAAAGTAACGAAGCTGTGGGTTTTTATGCTGACCAATCCAAGTTATCTTTCAGTAAATCTGCCGCTCGATGGAGCCATCAAGGTAACTTGACATCTAAATACGAGAACCAGTTGTCGGTTTCTTCTTCATAAGTTAACTGCATTGCTGCATGGGCGGGGTTAAAGCTGTCAATAATTTCGTCCAGGTTGATGTGTTTACCGACTCCAACTTTACCCTGACGATATCAGTCAGCAACGGGTCGAGAAGTGACCCCATGGCCACTCCGTCTTTCTACTGATAATATTTACCATTGAATATGGACTGTACATTCCAGGTGCATCGCAACAATACACTTTTCAGTTTTCGCATAGGTATACACATTTTTATTTTTAACTCAGTTATATAGTTTGCAAGTGCCTTGCACTATTGTCTCAATCAGCGGGACGTTGGTAAAAAGCGAAATAACATCAAAGGAGAACATTACTTTCTGGGAGCTGTCACGTAGGCTGTAACTTGTAAGCTGTTGTCGCACCTGTCCAGGAATTTCTACAAGCGACTGAGCGACCGCATTGTTAACCATCGACAAAATAGGGCAGAGTGGAATGTTGACTTTGTGAATTTTCGGTAACCCATGCAGCCTTGGAACCTTTGGGCAGCTCGGTTTAAAGCTGTCTTGCGGAGCATCTGAAATGTACCCCTTAATCCGACGTACTCGCAATCTCTTGACAATCTGTGTTTCAACTTGTCCCGCGCGATCCATTTCCCTTATGTGACCCGAAAACTGTCTCATCGCTCAGTATTTTATCTAGATAACCTTTCCTGTCTAGCAGCGTAGTTCCACCACCCTTATCCAGTCTGCACAGGATGACCTCATTTCGCTTCGGTTCCTTCAAGGCATCTAGGGACTTGTGTTCGTGGGCCCTTATTACGGGCGTAATGTTAATGGTAATGGTGGCAACAGTTCACCAAACAGCACTTAAAGCGTTTCAGATCCATATTTGAATTTGCGGCTGACTCTTTTGTTTGGTCAATTACATTTTTAATTTGTAGCTCATAATCGATTTAGTTATTCTTGCGTCTAGGAGCGCGAAACTTTAAGCCAAGTGATTAAACTTAGGTTACAGTTGTGTCCAGTTTCAAATCAGGAAAGTTGTTAACGTACCTTTCGTGATTTCAGCTGGCTCAGCGACTTTGTTAGAGAAGCACGCCTCCGCTATACACGGTTGGCAATAATAGACTCAGTGTACTCCAACAATATACTCTTTTCCTATGCAGCTAACTCCCTCCTTATCTTGTTGCGCTGTCACGTTGATTTAGCGCATACTGTCTAAGCGTGTTGCTATTGGGATAAACCCGATCACGGTGTAACTGCTTGCAAAATCTGGCTCATCACAATCCTTGGAGAATTGAACACAGCTTTTGGCTTACTGTTACTTCCTAATCGGACTGCTTGTTTCAGGTCAGTAAATGGGGCAACGCTGACTACTGTGATGCCAGTCACCCTTTCCATTGTGCATTGTCCTAAGGTATCTCGATGTCTTTGACCAGACAAAAGTACAAAGCCATTTATGCACACACACACACACGTGTCTTTGGTGCGTCAGTTCTTCCTTTTTTGTCACGTTTTCGGCGAAATCAATATGTATGCAAACAAGACCTTATTGCCAGACTAATCGATGGTATCACCACCTTTTGAACTTGGTGGTGCACCATATACATTTGTCATATCTGTTTAGTTTTATTTGTGCCCTTAGCGTGTGTGTTGTAGCTGAATAATCACTCCTCATAGGAATCTTGACCCAACAGTTGTCTCACCGACCACTGGTCAGCCCATGTCCCTTCCATCTGAGGTGCTCCGTTTGATGATTTTATACTACTGCTTTTATATAAGTAGCCGCCTTGTGCACATACGTTATGATTACATGCGCTACTGACGTGTTAGTTTGTACCTAATCCTCGCGACAGTCGCAGCATTGGTCAAATACACTTTGTTTGAATTTATTCTACTGTTATTTCTATGGTTACTCTATTCTACTTCTCTGTTATTCTGCAAAGCTTCTGTACCATTTCACAGGCTCAACCGTTTTTATTGAGACGACGGGATATCATCCAATCCGTGAGACAAGGTGTACAACGCTGCCCTAAGACCGGTGGTACTGAGACTGAGACTGTATTTAAGAGCAAGTAGAAAGGTTTCTATGCAACTCTATCGAATTACGAAAAATCAAAAACATTTGGTTGTGAATCATCAGCAGTTGTGTCTGGTTAGTTAATCGTTTATCCGTGTTCGGTTAGAAATTTGTACTAGCGTCATTATTTCCGGACATACAATGTCTTCTTTTGGCATTGTATGTGCATCGTTTCCCAAAAGCACTGTTTTCCGAAATAATCGTCGATACGGGTCTTAAAACACTTCACAGAATCGGCCTCTATTAATCCTTCGGGTAGTGTATTCCATAAGTTTACGATTCTTCGTTCGATACAAAGCTGATGTGATACTTTGTTCATGCCGGGGACCCTGAGTTTGTAACGGTGTCCTCGGGTGTTACAGGGTTCCCGCAGGTGAAATATTGACCGCATTATGGGGAAGTGATTTATGTGTAGTACTCGATGGGTCATAATAGGATCCATTCTTACTCGGCGATAGGATAGTGTGTAGAATCCGAGCCTTTCACAACGTTTTTCATACGGAAGCTTTCGTTGACTCGGTATCATTCTAGTTGCGATATGCTGTATTTTCTCCAGCTTTTCAGTTTCACATTGGGTTATCGGATGGTAAGCTGGGACACCGTATTCCAGGATTGGTCTAATGAGCGAGGTGAATAGACGAGGGACGGTTTCTTCGGATCATGTGAAGAAACTGCATCTTAATGCCCAGAGCATACGAAGTCCCGCATAGTACAATTTCTCTGTATTTTCTAGTGATCTCATATCATGTCGTGAGAGAACTCTTAAGTCTCTGACAGATGTGTTGGGATGGAGCAACTGGCCATCCAAGGTGTATGATCGAGTGGCTGGACTTCTGGTGATACTGATGAACTCCGACTTGCTTGCGTTAAGAGGGAGTTGCATTTCAGTGGACCACGTTGACAGTCGCTCTAAGTCATGCTGGAGGCGAACGCAGTCGTCCTGATTCTCAATTATCCTCCAGATTTTCAAATTATCTACAAACTGGGCACATGGTGACGAGCTACTGCGGAGGATCGTTGATATGAATAAGAAATAATACTGGCCCAAGTACAGTTCCTTGAGGCACGCCACTGGTCGATGGGAACCATTCTGTCAGATAGTCATTGACCTGTACTCTGAACTTTCCTCCCACAATAAACTCGTGTAACCACTGAAGTAGCGTGCCACAAATTCCGTATGTCCTCAGTTTACCAAGGAGTACCTCGTGGTTCACTCTGTCAAACGCCTTACTAAAGTCGACTTGCACTACGTCAACACCCTTCCGTTCGTTGAGAGCGCGTACTGTATAGGTCAGAGTTAATGTGTTCACAGAAAAGACACAATCACTTGACTGTGTTTGATCACCGGTGTTTGTGGAGTATTTCTCACATTTGAGCAGTACTGGGTGACTGGCAAGAAAATCTGGTATATCACGCGAGTTTTTTTGAATCTTAATTGCCTATGTTGACTAAGCCGTCTCCTTCGTATATCCGTTGACCACATTACTTTGTGTGTCTTATATGTTATCGCTTTATTTAGTAGGGCCGAGTTCACGAGATAACCAATGGATGACGTGGCTAAAGTTGTAAAAAGTTGACAGACTCGGTCAAACTGGTGCATGTCGTCTTCGTTCGTGGGGCATCGAATTAGCCTACACGAATGGTTGCAGATCATTTCATACATGTCGCAATTGCGCAGTCAGTGGCATTGCTGCATTCGGTTCTATGCATCTAGCTGTTTATATTTCCTCCCACTTTCCAAACTTTATATTGTTTGTGTTCTACTTCAGTTTGTCATCATTACTATTTATTTATGCTCTGACGGCGCGGGTCATGACAACTGGGTCCACCGCACTTCGGTTCCCGCATCATAGTCGTTTAACTGTATTGCACTGAACTATTCTTGTTATTAATCCGATTAATTATTCTTCTGCAATCATGTTCTTGCAACTTCCTCCATTCGTAATTATCCTCTGCTATCTTTTAGCTGAGGCGGTCAGGCCGTGGACCCTCACCGAACAACGGGCACTTGAGGACGCGTTGAGGTCGTGTCCTGCCGATGCTACTGCTAATCCCGGTGATGACCGTTGGCAACGCATAGCAGACCTTGTTGGCACTCGCACCCGACGCGAATGCATTCTGCGCTGCAAAGAGCTGTCGCGACAAGTGAGTTCCCCACTTCCACCACTTTGTGACTACGTTTAATACTAACTCTTGTCACACGCTAATATGGCTAAATTGTTGCATTTGAGCACTGTTTAGCCGATCCGCATCTTTCCTTTCCATTGTTCCGCGTGTGAGTTTCACTCACCTTTTATTTTGGTATAAATATGGGGTCATATGTGATTTTTAGCTAACATCTTTGTCCCAGTGTTGTTGTTCGACCTGACATGCCTATTTTTAGTGCGAAAACACATCACAAGCCATTGTAGTTTGATATTACTGAGGCTGTTACAACTCTTGTCGCCCTATTGCTCAAAGTGATGATCGCATGCGGTATGCACTGAGTACGTTTATCTCCGGTCGTTGGATTGGTCGACAAACAGAGATGTAAGCGAGAGAATTTACAGTTCGGTTCAGTCAAACTCACTTCTTCAAGTATAGTTCGATAATTGGTGTCCTCTAGCAGACCGCTTTGGCGCCACTTTAAAATCTCTATTGAACTGGAATGTTCTACGCTGTCTGAGGCCCATTTTTCGCGTGCTTGCACACCGAAAGTCTCGGCTTGCCTTGTAATCTTAAAGTCGTGGATTCGGGCCTGTGGAAGAGACCGGGCGACCCTCGCAGTACCCTTAGCCCATGTGGTGGTTGTGTGACAACGAAGCATTGGTACTGCGTACCAGCGTACTGCTGATGCCTTGTGTCCTTTACCAGGGCTGCCGCAAATGCTAAATTTACGGAATCAGTAGTCCTCTCCCATTCGTTCTAATATTTCCGATTTTTAGCTGCTCTGTCTGATGATTTCCATTATTTCCTATCGATTCCCTGTGGATTTTTTTACAATACTCTTATTACTGTGTCGGCTTAAATCAAGACAACGGAATCCACTGCACATTGGCACCCTTATGATTAATCAGATGAGCTTGGCTGAGTCAGTTTGTCATGTCTTGCATCACTGAAAATTGGCTCATATGTTCGTAATTTGACAAGTCACGATGGAACCGAGCAGTTTGAAAAATCCACATTTTGCGGGCTGGAAAAGCTGCTGACGGCTGGATTAATTGACATGAGAACCGGAACACAGTTCCGTCCATGTAGAGCTCGTGTTCCCCATATGTACCGTTTACCGAAGACTCGCAAGTGTCTCCATGGTGAATGCACCGTTTTACGGTTGGCACGATGGCTTGCCCAGCTTATCACTCCTATCCGGCGCGTGCTAGCGGGACACATCCACTATGGAACACTAGAATTTGTCGATTAAAGACGATGTTTTAACTTAGAGGGAAGAGGCTTTCGACTTTATTGGCCTTCTTACTGACAAAGTGGGTTTCCCAGCATACCAGCTCAAGTCACTACTCCGTCTGTGCTGGAACGACATTCAGTTCCGTCTCAATGGAACTGAACCGAACTATGACCATAACTGTTGTTCTGCCTGTTTAAGGGTGCCATGCAGTTTATCTGATATGCTGTTTTTGTCGTAACCTTATTCGATTAAGACCGAGCCACCATGGTCGATCAGAACTCATTTTCGGTACATCTTTACACTCTTCTTCCATGAGGTGCATTGCTGAATGAGGCGTACGATTTCTCTTACACGCTGCTCATTTCCGTCGTCCACTTTTGTCCCAATCCAGCTGGTTGGTGTGGCCGCGGACATTAGCATTTGGCGATACCGATCCCTCACTGGCTGTCTAAGCTTCTGTGACTTCAACGCTTTCACTTTATAGAACACACAATTTCACGTGGTGCTTCAATCGTGTTTGTTATCGGCCAGTGATCTAGTAGATACGTACCTTGTCAAGTGCACTTGAAAATATGCAGAAAATTTTCCGGAATTAAATCGTGCGGCACTCTTGTGTTAACCAAACGTTTCATTAGGAACTAATTGTTTCAACTTATGACCTCACAATTCCGTGTTGCGGCTAAGCTTCAGGAGGTGGCGGCAGGCGTGACTGGGGTTTTTCAAATTCTGGAACGCTAGAATGAGGTCACCTCTTAGATGGTGGTATCCGCCGCTGTACACTCCCAGGGCTCACAGTCGCCTATGGTATTGCAAGTTGGACAACCCCTTCACTTTTTTCGTTGCTCTTCGCTGTGCGGTCTCCAGCACTTCCAGACTCCGTTTCAAACAGAGGAATATGGAGGGATCTAACCGCCCGAACGCCCTCCGTAACAGACCACTATGTTGGTTCACGGTTTTTGACGCCTTCAAGGACTACGCCGAACAGCCGGGATCATCTTGCATCACCACGCCAAGGTCTCGCTCTTGTGAGACGGTTTTCAGTATGTCCTCTCCTACCTTGTATGCGTACGTGGGCTTGTAGTGGACATGCAGGGTTTTGCACTCGTCCTTGTTAAACGGAAGTAGATTTGCCTTTGGCCATTCAAAGGCGTGGTCTGAGTCTTTGCAGCATATCGTCCTCTTTCTGACAGCCGATTGCCCGCCATCTCTTGATATCAGGAAATTTGACTTGATGACTCGCAAGGTTGTTAACAAAGAACAGCAATAACCGCGGCCTCAACACTGTCCCTTGTGGGACACCGCAGTTCACGTTAATTGGATTAAAAAATGAGCCCCTCGAATCTGAACGCGCCGCTGAAGGAGAAAGTTTCCGATCCATCCAAAGACAGGGTTCTCAACCCCTTACGCTTGCTGCTTTTGGAGAAGTATGAGGTGATCTATGCGGTCGAAGGCTTTAGAAAAGTCTAGGTGGATGACATCAATGTCGGTCCCACTGTCGGCTATCTCTGTCCAACTGCCATGCACTAAGTAGATTGGTAGTACATGGTCGATGCAGACTGATTTCGTGTTGCTCCGGTGCTATGATGTTAGACCTTTTGATGTAGCCTATTATAGCCTCGGTTATGATCGGTTCTATAACCTTTGAAAGTACCGGGAGGTGAATTACTTGGCAATAGTTAGCGGGCCTGAACTGCTACCTTTCTTGAAAATCGGGGTAGTGATGCTTTGCTTCCATATGTTAGGGACCTGCTGTTCATCCAGGCATCTTTGAAAATATCTCGTTAGTGATTCAGCTATCCTCGTAACTGCCATCTGCAATGCTTTCAGGGGAATGTTGTCAACTCAAGGGGGAACTATGAGTGCGCAACGATATCTGCTTCCTCAAAATGGTCACCGAACTAGAGGTCGCGTGTGTAAATACTGACGTCTGGGAGATTGGGACAGGTATGTTACACATGCTGGGAGCATATTGGAAAATTGGGGCATATTGGAGCCATATAACTTAAGCTGCATCCACGACGATTTGAGCACATGCAATTGCTGATATTAGTGGGGTAACATCACGTTTCACACTCCTGTGGCTATTCACATGTCTGTACAGAATTTTTTTGTTAGCACAAAACTTTTCCGCTAGACTTTGCTGGTGTATTAATTTCTCCTCACGCACAAGTGTGGTACAGTGATTATGATACACAACATAGTTACCCCAGTTGTCAGGGCTAGGATTCGCTCTATACCCATGCTACTCCACGTCTTTTACTGTCATATGTTTTCGGGTTCTGCTCCGAACGAACGATTGGGATTTTGCAGAACGAAGGGGTTTGTTGACCGAGGCAGATTTAATCAAATCACTGAACTTGCCAGTAAACTCCATCCAAGCACTGTCAGTGGAACAGTCGTCCGAAAGCTCCCTGATGGCATCTCTCACAAGTTCTGCCAGTACGTCGTAGTGGGTGATTGTTCGAAACAAGTTAATATGTTCTTGTGGATACTTCACATAACACACGAAGTTCTGAATTGTGATTACTTGGTCGATCCGCTCCAGATAGCTCTCCATCCTTGGATTCTCAATCACGAGCTCTTCGTTTGTGAGCACCAAATCGAGCACAGCTCTGAATCGGGTGGGCGAACTGACATGGCTGGAGAGCGGAATGCTTACAATACACTCTTGTAGGTCTGTCTTGAATTGCTCGTTGGGGGATGACTGAATTTCCGAATCGTGAATATTGAAGTTGCCAAAGACGAGAACATAATTGTATCGTCCTCCTAGGATCCTTCCCAAAGATGATATCAGGAAGCAGTCGATCTCTGGGTGGTGGGCGACATTGGGGGACGATAAACAAATGCCAGAAGGCAACTGTCGCATCTCAGTCTTAGTCTGCACCAGAGTGAGTCTATGATCAGTATTTCCAGATCGACCACCGGTTCGCGCTGCAGGTCGTTGCGGTAGTATAACGGTACTCCCCACCCTCGTCCTTGCTAGCGCGCTATTTTCGGAGAAAAGACATACCATGTATCGCGACCTCGGCGTCGGTAATTTCTGCGTGTAACCAAGTTTCCGTAAGGAATATAAGGTCCCAGGCATGTGACGCTTGACGTAACCGCAGTTCGGCAAGCTTGTTCAGGGGATCTTGTACATTGGTGTACATGCTGGAAAGTTTCTCTGTTTTCAGCAATGAATTGTGGAACGCATGTTTTGACCAAAATGTGACGACCGTTGCAAGGTCAGGCACTAATTGTTTTTTGGGTGTCGCGATGACGAACTCAGCTGTGTCGGATCCGTAGATCCCATCATTACCACTGTTTCTCTGTTTGGTGGTGATGTATAGGGTGTGTTCGCCAGTTTCGCTGGTTAGTTGATTGAGGCTATTCGAACTTGTCGGGAAGTGGTGCAGCTAGATGACTGCTCTCGTGTGTTTCCTTAGCAGATGCTACTTTGATCCGGAACTCGAAAGGATGGCTGGTACGGCTCGCATACCAACACCAGCACCATTGCTGACATTTGTCTAGATTTAAGAACCACTCTCACAATTCTTGGGCCACATATTTTGTAGTTTGGCGATCGGCGCAACCTGGTGATAGATTACGCTATGACGTTTTCCAGGGAGAGGGTCTCGCGGATGTACCGCCATTGTTCCTGCTCGTGAGTGGTCGCTTCGCGCTCATCATGACTTCCAGCTTCGGAAACACCGTGTACAAGGATGGTCCTGGCTACGAATTCCTTCCGTAGTGCTTCACCTTTCTGTGCTTGCTCCACGGAATATCCGGTAATAGGCGGATGGAATATGACCTATTCCGGAGACGAGCTGTCGATAACAGGATGGCTTCTGCTTCATTGGCAGACGTCAACACAACTCGGAAATCTTAATTCACCGTAGTGCTGTGAGTTTGGGTGACGGGTAACGCGGGTCAAATTTACGGGCTTAGTTACAACACCTATAGTATCATATATATAGTTCCATTGGTTCACGTCATCAATTTGCTTTTCTTTTAAGGACTTCGACCTCGATTCCGGAAAGTTGATGTATGTTACCGTTGGTATGCTACATGCAACTCGGGTTGAAGTTAAACGGCTAGCTGGTTTGTGTACAGTCGATGGAGGCTGTTCGGTTACAGCCTCGTCTTCTTCATTTACTTTGGGTCCATTGGGAGTGACCGAAAGTCTAGGTTTTCGGTCATCTTTGGCAGCAACCAAATTTTAGTCACCACTGGTTTCCAAGTCCTTCTACATTTTCGGAACCGTTTGGAGAGTGGACGAGGCCCTGACCGTGCTCATTGCAATCAGACTGGCGGTGGTTGTTTCAGACGTATTTGAGCAACTGGTGGTATGGACCTTTAAAGCCACAGATGTTGCACTTTTAGCGCGCTGCCCAGCCTTCTTCCTCATTTTTAATGCGGGCCTGATGGGAATGACTGGGATTTATTCTCTGTCACGCTTTCTTCAAATGTATCCCTTTTGGTGATCCTCATTTGTTCACTCATTACTACATCTTTCGTACTTTTGTGATAGTTCATATACAATTTTTACCGGTGGGATAACTATACATACTGAACAGAATCACAGTGAATCTGGTTTACTATTGTGAAGCTTCAACTGGTTCACTGTAAGCTTGGAACATTTACGATGGAACATGCCTTGGCAACTGCTACACTGGATTACAATTCGTACATTTTTACAGCATGAAGGCCCCAAATTATTGTTGGTCTGTAGGCGGTCACATGGGCTTTTGACTTGTTGACACAATCCTTTGCATCGATTGCTGCCATTCCGATCAACGCCCAAGCGCTTATAGTTTCCTTCGGGTCGCGTGTGTACTGAATTGTTTGCATGTTCAGTGTCCTCGCGTTCTGTGAATCTGGCCGGGGCAGGTTTATGCGGCTAGATCGATCACACGGCAAACAAAACGACTGACCGATACGGACACAAAATGTGCGATAGCTACTTTGATGAACGGTCTACAGTTGTGGTTGCTGACTCGTCGGATAAAACGTAGACTTGGCTTTCCTTTGAGACCACAACTATTGCTGTGTGGCTCGTGATACGGAAAACCCCCCAATTGTGTTTCTACAGGAATGGTGCGAAAACCACCATGTGGAGATACAAGACGGTCCACACAAGCTAGATTCGAAAGCTTGTGTGCACTAGATAGCACTGATGAAGCTGGATAAGGTGTATGTGAACACACATTCGTGTGACATAATGCAGCTGAGAAAGAGTGACAAAACAACGTGCTCACAGATGAGCGAGTAGCCCGCAGGTTCGTTCAAGGTCACAGAGCATATGCACTGTATGTGATATAATAGTTTGTGACTAATGTGGACAGATTGTGGAAGTTACCACCTGCTTTCAATATAAATTGGAATAAGCAAGTATAGTTATTTTCAACTTTTTAAAAATCAAAGTTTAACACAATTATTTTCTAGTTACAGCCATGTCCTAAACATTGTTTTGAATAGCTATATTGCAAAGATTTATGAATAAAACTTTATAATGCGGTCATTTTGACCGCTCCCGGGCGTTCTAGGTATGACGGCGGAACGGTCTTTCTAGTGTTAAGGATCACAAGCCCGCCTTGAATCCGAGGGCACGAGTTCTAACTTGCGTAGGGGACTGGGCGACGCTTGCAGTATCCTTAGATCGTTTGCTACTGGTGATGGTTGCTCGGCAATGAAGCGTCAGCACTGCGTTCCGGGTGTACCTCTGATGCTCGATTCTGGTTTGTATACAACTTTGAAGTAGCAATATGATGCAACACTTGTGCGGTATAACTTAAAGTTGCGCATTGTCGATCATTTATTTGCATACGTTCAGTGTACTAATCATCTGAGTACAAGCAACTGTGAGGCTTACACAATCAGTGTCCAGAGTTGTTTGGCTAGGTCAGCATCTCCAATGACGCAACCTGTTCCTTACCAAGACGTGTTGGGACCGCTTGTGTGGTCCATTTGGGTACATAGACCGGACCTCAGACACCGGATAGCAACACTTTAGGTGAGATAAATCCAACATGTGTTGCACTATCCTCTGGTATCCTCTGGAACCCTACCTCACATGGGACTGTGCTTCGGTCAGGCACACGGAGCGAGGGATTCGGAGGACGTTCGATCTATGATGAACCTGCTATTGGAGTGTATCACTCCATTGAGTCCACACACACACACACACACCATCTCCATGAGCACCAGTTGTTATTTTCTATTACTTGATAACCGAAACGGCAATATCAAAAGCGCGTGCACCGTTTAAACCGCGCACAACCAAACGGTGTATATCGACTGAATGCGTTCGATAACCGGTCATTCGAGTGTGACCCAATTGCAACGCGATATATATATATATATATATATATATATATATATATATATTTGCAAACGTCTACGAATAGACATAATGCCATCAGAAACCATGGGATTCAAACGAAGGTACAGAAATAGTAAAGGAAAACACAACGCAACCATGTCCATGGTTTCGTCAGAGGGCGAGATACTACCCGGTTACCCAAGCCGAAGTAGGGTGTTGACTTAGGGGACACTACCCCGAGCCTTTGGCTGAATAGCCTGTCCGCAAGGCAGCGAAGCGAATACAGGGAATCGCACCCACTGGGAGCCGGTGACTGATTGCTCAGTTCGTACGTCTTTCGTTTGTTCCTTTGTCAAACACGGGCGCAATGCTCCCCAGAAGTACAGCATAAGGTTGCTGGAATACAATGCTTCGCCAGAATGAAGCAAGGGGCAGTGACTTTATTTAGTGGCGAGTCACGTCCGCCACGTCACAGTGCTGTTAAACGGACATATGTGGCTTTTTATAGGGAGAACGATTGCCAGGCGAAAACGCAGCACGTCCTGGAACACAGCTGCCGAACTGTTTGCTGGAACGGGAAAATCCCGAACCACCCAGCTGGCACCACGAGGAGGTTGTTCAGCAAGTCAGGGCAACGCTAGGGTACAGTGCACTCAACGTCTCCCTTCAGTGCCGCTACAAGCAAATAAATGTACCTCGGTTTCGCTCAATACTTATAACTTTTTACACCTGCTGTCCAATACCAAAGCTTGGTTCATAATTGTCTTGCGTTTGGCCGAATTCGAAGCTGACTGGATCAGGCCCACATGAATACTGGGACGCACAAACGCTCCTTCCTCGACCATTGCTCTGTCGACACGTGGTCGATTCTCTTTTTATCGCTCTTTTATGGCTCTTTTTATGGCTCTAGTTAACTTATCCCACGATTATTATTATTATCATTATTATTTATTGTCATAGTGAGCACACAGGCTTTGTTATATTTTTTCGGCATTTCACCTTTCGCCGTCTTCATTTTCAGGTCCGTGCCAAAAAGCTCGCCTCCGCCACCATAAATGGTGAAGTGGATTCAAACAAAAAAACGGTCAAACAATCGAAACCGTCTCAAAAGTGATCTGTGCATACTCAGATTTTAACTGCTCTGTCACACGCATCCTCTCTCTCTCGCTCCAGCCTTCACATGTTACTAAGGGGTCCAGCTTACTTTTCTGATATAACTGACCCCTAAAACTTGTACAAATTCCAGTTTGACCATGACCCTCTATTCGACTTCCTTCGACTCCTTCTCTGCTACCTCAGCTCCACACCTTTCTGCATCCCGTCTTAATGGCGGGCTATTATATCATATGGACAGAACCGACTTCTGAAATACAACATGTGATCTATGTTCGACCAGAACATAAAAGTCGGTACATCAACTTTTATTCGATACGCCACAAAATCTAAAAAGTTTAACCTGGAACTTTCTATCCGCGGACTGGCTTTATTCGTTGCGTTGCGTGGAGTGCTTACGACCCTCACCACTGAGGATTGGCACACACTAGTCGGGCGATGGTTCTTTGCCCGATGAATAGATTGCCTTAGAAAGAGGTATGCTATCAACTAAATCGACGTGGCGCATGCTGCTTTTGTGCGCTTCCACATGTGAACCGATATGGGTTTTTTTGCGCCTTCATGACCTCGTTTCCATCATCATTTCGGACGACCTGACCGAGTATACAGCGCTTTGGTGTAACCAACTCCCCTGCGGGGACTCATGCACCAGCGTTATCGAGTTAGTCTGTATTCTCAAATATCCGCTTATGTTGGTCGTGTGCGTATCGACATGATGGTTCGCTGGGTACTGACATTAACCCATGTATCTCAAGGGCGAAAACCGACTGTGCTACAACGTTGTTTCTGTAAGGGAAGCTCTTTGATTCTCCATACAGGACTACAGTTAGGTCCGTTCTCTTCTTATTTTTGGTTGTCAGGATGCTCGGCGGCTTCATGTTTTTAATCTTCGTGATCTGCGAAACGGTGCTTGATTCCTTTGGTACCAGTACTTGCGGGTGATGATCAGTTTACTTATTTAACTCAGCAAATAACGCTGAATAGGTAGTGTTTGTCCCCGTTCGCCACAGAAGATCCTGTTCACGGATTACAGAATTGCTCAATATTAGAGGTGAGCAAAATCCGAATCGTCAGCGGCAAATGACATCACTTCCAACTAAAGTATATACTGTCGGTCCGTTTCTCCTCCCGGATTTGCATTCACGCGGTCCACCCCTTATGATTGACGCTAGACTTTCTAACGTATGGCTAGTAACCGCTACCAGTAACGCATCTACTGCGATCTTCTCCTAGCCAGACTGAGTGTTTATTGTATGTCTGTTGCTTTGCGCTATTTAGATAGTAAGGCGGTGAAAGCCGCGAGAAAGTTGTCTCGCTGATGCCGTCTTGTCTTCGTACGATAGCCAGCCGTTAGAACAGTTCAGTTCAGCTCAATTGATCAACTATGCTCCGAAGTGCAGTGGATCCAGTTGCCACGACTCATATCGCAAGAACAATAAATAACTACGCCAAAATAGTGAGACTAAAGGTAAATATAATGTAAATAAATGGAAACAAGAAAGAAGTGCATTAAACTAGTCAGAATGGAAAGAAAACTAACAAACGTACAAGAAACCGCATGCAGGAACTCCTGTGACTACGTGCCTGCGCCATGTCTGATACGGCTTCTAATCATTGGTGTGGACTATCCCGAGTCCCCCATCCACGAAGACAGCATACACTAACCTGTTCAAGTCTCTCACTCAATTTCTTCATGCTACTGTGCCAGTTTCGCCCAGTTAAGTGCGGCCACGACGTATAATGCACGCCGAGGAAACAGACCAATGAGCAAACCGAGGACATGGAGTAGCCGACGCAAGCGACTAAGATTTGGCAAACACTTGAGAGAAGCACCAGAAGGCTTCTTGACAAAAACCAACTGGCGGACCTTAGCATTGCTCACCCGGTGTTCCCACCAAACGTGAGCACTACTTCGCAAGCACGGATGGTCAAACACGGCCAAACGTTTAATGTCATCGCCGCGGACTGGCCACGTCCCTGATCCATACAGTAACACCGGTCTAACCGTAACGTTATGCACCCTACCTTTTACTGACAAGCTGATATCCCGCCGTCTCCATAGATGGTTGAGTCTCTGGAAAGCCATACGAGTCTTGCTGATACTCGAAGTAACTTCTTCAGCGATGTGACCACAAGAGGTGACACAGCTACCAAAGTAAGTGAACCGATCCACCACTTTCGGTGACTGTTCGGAAATAACTAAAACCGGAGGTGTGTTGGCCCAGTCCTGCAGCAGCAGCAGCACTTTGAAAGTGAAAAGTACAGGCCGAAAGGTGCAGCGCTACGCACAAGTCTGTGCAATAGTGTTTGCATAGCAATGTATCGGACCCAAAGAGAACTATTACCGTCCGCATACTCCAAATTTGTTAGTCGGGCACCTGGTAGAACTTCCACTCCGGTAGAGTCTAAGAGAACCGAGTCTCTCATGATCATTTCGATCACCGAGTTGAAGAGGAAAGGAGATATAGCTGTTTAAGAGTGTGGGTTGTTGACAATATGCAGGCGTCTTCGCCCTGAATGTCTGCTCAAGACACTTAGATTTTACACTAAATCCCTTTTCTCCACCGCTCTTATCTACTCTCCTTCCTCATGGGTATCTGACATCAAATCATAAATCCGAACTACCCGTGTGATGCTGTTGATAATAACGATGTTTCGAAATGGTTGTCCACTAGTTCGATTGTGGGAAGTGAAGCCACCGATAACCAACCGAACTGTGGACTTGGTTAGTCTCACTTTCTGGGTTCTCGTTCCTTCAATCCACAGTGTTTTTGGCAGATAGATCTTACAGGCGCTATACGATTCACAGTCAGTGTCTGAGTTGTCTGCTATCTATTTAAGAGCATCTAACTATGAGTTTATGTGGTGTAAAGTTGGTGGCAATAAACGTGGATACCGACTGTTCGATACTCAATATTCCCCCAGGGCATTTTTATACCTTTTTCTTTCTGTCACCTCTTTCCAAAGCGAACCGCCTTAGATTGTGATTGTACGTCAGCGGAGTGCCATTACAACTTAATGATGCGCCAATATTTTGGTGATCCGAGCGGATGGTTATGTATATAGTGAGTCACGGTTTGTAGCCAAAGGCTCGGAGAACTGGCATTCAGAACCAGATAATCGTTACACAACGCACCAGACTGTGTTGGTATGTGGTGCCATTTTTGCAAACACATCGGAAGGACGACGCATCGATACAGTCCACGAGACAACTATCATGCTCCTTACGTCATGTAGTTAAACACTCATCTTTCTTCCTTTGGTGTTCGTTCAGACGGCAAACTGCACTGTATGCAATACGTTTCTCTCTATGTTGTATAATGTGTGGGTTCGAGCCCCCGCTTCCCTACAGGCTTGGCCGTCCCTATAGTGTCCAGTTACACATGTAACCGATCATAGTTGCATGATAGCGAAACCTGTGTGCAAGGTATAAGTGTATTGCCGATAGCCAGCTTTTCTCTATCCCTTGTCACTTAAGTACTGCGAGTCTGTGTCCGTTTCCTCTTCCGTTCGCCATTTTTCTACCTTCCAGCAGACACTTGACACAGGTGGAATCAGTAGAACAGACTTCGTGTATCCCTGAAAACACTGGAAGGCGTTTACTTTCCTTTATCTGCTATAATTAGTTTGCGCATTTCGCTAGACGTCTCTAGGGTTCACAGTACGCCTTGCCTCTTACAGGGTAACGAGTTGTACCGCTTGGTCATGGGTGACAACGGCAAACGATGTCGCCCTGTTTCGACATATCGCAAATCATCCCCCGGTGCTCATTTCGAGCGTGTTGGTCGTCGGCTTATGAAACTTTTGACTAACCTGACTTGCATTCTACTTGCTGTTCTCACTTAGCTAAATCACGTACGTTATCTGTTTCTGCGACGTTAGCCATGTTACTGAGCTTCCGATCATCGCGCTGCCTTCTCTTCCGAATCTCGTTTATCTTGCATGATCCTGCGTGCTTAAAATCATTAAAGTCCGCAACCCATCTCCAATGGAGACAGTGATTAAGATAAACGGAGATGGCGGTTTTTGCTCGAAAAGAATGGACTAACGGCGGTGTGATGCGATTCGCGTGCAAGTGCGCATACCAAGTAGCACTCCCGGGCGCCGATACAGGCTCGTGGTACCGGGTCTGAAGGTGTAGCTTACCTGTGATTCGAACGCCGGGTGGTGAAATATTAGAACGTTTTACCCATGGCAATGTCGGTTTTGGAGTCCAACAAGTTTTTTAGTCACCCAGTTGCTGGTTGCAGACTTCACGGTCGCATTGCACCTGAATAGGATGTTGCATAACCGTAACCTGTTACAAATGCGCAGAAATGAGTGATGTACTTATGCGCACGTGCCCGATACCATATCGACGGTGCGACACAGAAGTAGATCTCCGATGTCAGTATTCAATATCGTCTTCCGCAGAGACACGCATTTTCAGCTTACAGAGGATAAGGCTAGCTCCCAGATTCGCAACCGAGTCACCAGTTACTCGATAAGATTCTAACTTGGCTCTATCGCTTCTTACCTTTAAATTGATGCAGATCCCCATTAACACTACTTCTTAGAAATTTGTCGTCCATTCTGACTTCTTGTAGTCTTTCGCGGATTACCGACTCTTTGGGCGGAGATAACATTACACGTGCGGTCGCATACTTGACAGTATGGGTACACACATTTACTCACATCGTTACCATGGTGATAATATATCTGCAGCGTGTCTTTTTCTGGGCATCACTCTTCCCCATTCCGTTTGCTTCCCCTGTCCAGTCTTAATCCAGTCAATGAAATGCAACAGGCCCAGCTGTCTTGACTCAGGTGTACCACTTAAAAACTAGAGTGTGTAAAGCGTACAATGCAGAGGTTGACTTTAGCGTGATGACAAAAGGGATTTCGCTGTTCGAGTGCCAAGACTAGCAAGGGCACCGCTGATTTTACGACTGCGTCATGTTGTATTTAACACTGGCCACTCAGTCTAGAAGCGAGCGTGTAATCCGAGTAATGGTATCTTAGCATGGATTTACTCTCCCTATCTCTATCGATTGAATTTCACACTGCTTGCAGTTGAAATGGTGACATATATCGCTTGAATATGATCGGCTAGGAATGGCTTACATGCGTCTTACTTAGCGGTGGTTATCTCCGATGAATTATACGCCTGTTTATAATTGTCTGAACAAATAATTCTTAAAGATCTGGGAAACTTAAGTTTTTTCTTCACGATTTATATGGCTGAAGTCTTCATATGATTGAGCTGAGCGATTTATGGCTCTAGAAACACTCGTACTTGCTCTTATGGTGTGGAGATGCGGATGTAACCTTTCGAAAGACTACCTCACTTGGAGGCAGATCTCCGGCAGACGGTTCTACAGATAGCCTTACTAATACACTTTAACTTTTGCAGTAACCACTTTCGTTCTGCTCTCAACTTTTTCCGATATATTTAATTGATCGAATACCCCAAAAACCTATTTGGGAACTGCTCTGGAGAACTTGCAAAAGTAACTATCCTTTGCAATCCTGTTGTACCATGTGATTAGACCACATAGTCGGGAAATACACCGCTTGTACAACGTATCCTACCATACTTTTAACTGAACCCCATATTCCATCTATTGTCAACACTACCATGGTTTGTTAATCCTTTATGCGAAGCATCCACGATTTGCTCATAGGTGTCTCCACGGTGAAGTCGCCCTGTTATCGCGTAGTTTCTCCAAAGCATTGGGTTTTGCACTTCGGCGTCATTCGCGCAGAATTCCTTAGTCAAATGGAGTCTTAGCTAAAGTGCGATTTCACCACATAGATTGGATGATTCCTCTCTATATCAATGCGCACGACTGCATTCAGTCTCTAGCGGCACTCAAATTCATCCCCTTATCGATCATTCCAGAATGATTTCAGCATCGGTTGTGTACCACGCGGTAGTTGGCCGAACTGATCGACTAGGGAATAGAAACCGATGTCATATATTTGGACTTTCGAATGCGTTCGAGCACTTGTAACATCATATCCTGCCGTACAAACTGACATTGTGATATTGGTAATCCAATTTTTGGTGCATCGGCAACTGGATAGTTAGTTCAGCCACACGGCGTTCTTATTGGTTTGCCTCGCACTGCCCAATCAACTGTTTTTCACGTCATGCTCAAATCGTGTGTCGTGTGATCTATGTGCGCAGTTTTTGGCCCGGTACACTCTGCTTCGTACTGCGCCTTGTTCTGCCTAACTCCGGTTTGGGGCGTGCTTGCTTGAATTCGTTACTACGTAAAAGAGTCCATCATCTTCCTATCCGATTCGAGTCAAACGAGGCGTACGTCGCGATTCGCTAATTATGCTCGTCTTTACTGTTCTATACTCTACGGATGGTGTTAAGATTTGTTGAGCAATCGAGTGATTCGATGAACCCCCTTAAGTTGTCGATGCAAAACGTGCTGTTATTCAAACTAGACCAGCTGCCAATCTGTTCACATCCTCTGGCACCTCTATACAAACTTGGAGCGCACAACCTAAAGACCGCGTCGCAGAAACGCATTCACGGTGTACTCGTACAGGACGATCTCGGTTGTCCCAAACAGCCTGCGTCCTTTTCAATATTAGGTCACCTATGTTTGTCTCTTGTGGATGGCACCAGGGAGTTTGAATGTATCTATCTTCTCCTTCCTGTTATTTGCGCCATCACTCCGGACGCTATATTCAGGCTTAGCATTCTTAACTAAAGTGTGACTTCGCAGCATCTAAGACCACAACGTCGGGCATTGAAATCTGCTAAGGGTTCGCATCAACTTCCGAACCTGTAGCGACAGGACAAAATGGGGTTGTCTGATGGACGCTACCGACGGCTACACGGATATAATGACATATCATTTTCCGAGCAATCCCAATCACTTGTGCCAGCCACCTTTTGAGGCTCCGCCCAAACGCTAACTTGAGAGACATTTAGACAAAAACAAGTGGACAATGCAGTCGTCTGTATTGTTGGTGAAATAACTCATTTCGGCTCTGCCAATTCTGGGGCACTTTTCCAAACTCAGTCGTTTTCGCATCCACTTTAACTGTCATCAAAAACGTTTGGACATCGCGCTGACCACAGTGCACTTTTCACACGAATTTGGTACCCTGGTACGTACTTTTCGCAATCGTAACCGGTGCAGACGTGTGGGTGATCCGATGATGCTCTACAATTAGGGGTATCTGTAACCACTTTCCACGCTGTTTTGCACAATGCTATCTCATTCACACTAATCTGCTCGTATTATGCGGTTGTTCTATGCGTTTTTTTCTCTATTCCCTTCATAGTCCTTGCCTTCACGATCCTCTTTATCACTTGTTAGGCATGTGGCCTTTTACTCTTCGCTAACCATTGTTCCTGTCTTCTTCGGCCCGTTGTGTTGACGTAATTGAACATAGTACGATTTCCGTCTCCACGGTTGGTAAGCTGTTCAAGTTCTCATCAAGACCGTTCGCGAGTTCGTCATCCCCTTTTACTTCCTCTACTTGGTCTATGTTTAATTTTCAGTGGACTTTATTTTGGTTTTAACTTTTTTGTGTCATTTGTAACTCGGATTGTGTGCGTGATTAAGCCACTTCCCTTTATCTTCGTCTAGGTTTTGGCGCTCCATTTTATTCATCGTACAAATTTTTGGTTTATTGACTTAGTTTCGGTAGAAATTCATCACATCTGGACCAAGTCAGACAGCCGCAACACATCCGGAAAAGCACTTTACGGTTGTTTCCTCCCTTTGGGAATCGTCATCAGTGCGCATTACATCTGACCCTTGTAGGACTCGAGCCCGCAACTCGACTACTGCCAGTCTGTGGTTGAGACCGCTGAGCTACTGGGGACAGCAACGGTCGTTGTGACTGAGTTACTAGATGTGATACAGCGCCTCAGTATTCACTGACTTACATGTTACTACCGTGCGGAGGATAGGTCAGCCCCCTCACTTACCAAACTTAAGCCGCCAATTAACTTATGGCATTATAAGCAGTCTAATCGGTATGCTTATTACAAAATGTAGTGGGGGGAGTTGAATGGCCGTCATGACAAAGTTACTAGATGTGAGGGGGCTACCTTGTTCTCTGCACCGTAGTGACGTTCAAGTCAGTAGGTAGGGAGCGGCGCTAAATCTTATTTACTAACTTAGCCACGACTACCGTTGCCGTCACCCGTAGCTCAGTGATTGCATCCTTTGACTGGCAACAGTTGAGTTGCGGGCCTGAGACCCACAGCGGTCAGATGGAATGCACACTGCTGACGATTCCCGAATGGATGGAACGGCCGTACAGTGACTTTCCGGGCAAGCGATGGCTGTCTGACTGAGTTTGGACGTGATTAATTCCTACCTGTGCCATTTAACTCCCCCTACTTTTCCGTTGATTTAGTTTCACTTCCAAACATTGTTAGTGGTGTGTTTTGATGAACTGTTTTACTTGGAAACGGCTACCGCGCTTTCTCTCCGTGTGTACCCCACGTTGTGAGCCCTCTCTCGCTTTTGAATAACAAAGCATGTGTGCATGGCAGTTATTCTTCTTTTACACTGACAGACTTGCCACATTCAAAGTCACGTGACGTCGAAGTTCTCCTCATCGTCATCGACCTGCCGTGCGATCCCGCGTCTGGGTTGCAGCGCGTGGACCTTTTCCCACTCAATCTTGGTTGCCCATCAAACCGAGTAACAGAAGAAATAAATTCATAATATCCATGTAAAGTTGGAGCGCGCCAAATATATACTCTTCCGGACTGTAGTCATAGGCTCCACCACCGATAATCATTTGTGTATCGTAAATTAAATACTGCAACAGAAACAGAAAGGCGTGCTGGATTCCATCTATCCAAACACCATACTCTCTGTCAAAATGATCACATAGATTGTACTTCAAAATTGAATCAACTGTCACACAGAATATGTAGAGTAAAATCAGTAGCCTGATGGACATGTTTCACCGAATTTTCTAGGATCTGCATAAGGTGGGGTTATCTATACTGTTTTCTTTCAACTCTGACCAAATACCATGAAATTGTCATTCCCAGATACAATGCTGCGTTTTTCATTCACAGTAGCCACAATGTAATCAACACTGAACAGGGGCAAGTTACAGCTGCAGGCCTCCCTCACGCTTATTGGAGGGAGTTCGGGATTTGTGGCGTTCTGATAGGGTTTTGCCCATTCAACTATCCATCACATCCCAAAATACACTAGATGTATGTTTCATTCTATCGGGACTCTACAGTTGCGCATAGCACTTTGGATCGGCACCAACGACCCAGTCCACTGAAGCATTGCTGATTGTGACTGACAACCATGACAAATTGCTAGTCACGTTATAGCGCGGCTCATCTTGCATTAGCATACACTTTTAGCCCTGCAGAAGACAGGTCTGTCCCCAGAGCTGCGGCTTCCGTCGCTGCCATCACCTACGACCATGCAGTTTGCGAGGCAGCACTCCGTACCTTGGTTGACAGCTTCAGTCGAATCGAACCGGCTAATTGTTACATGCCTTTTCCTGTACCGTCGGTAAAAGCGTACAAAACTGAACAACAGGTGTACGACTGCCATCGCTAAGCGTCAACAAACTAATTGAGCTACCTTGCCAGCTTTTCGGGCTCTCAGAGATAACCCTGTCTTCAGTGCAATACATGGCATGATTACGCATATTGATGTTATCGCTCCCCAAATTCTCAAGTTTCTAAATACAACTTGGATGGTCGTGAGGTCGAATCTCTCAGGAATGTTCTCAAACATTCTTCGGCTTCAGAAGCTGACAGTAGGACATCGAGAGCTTAGTAATGAGCTACAGTGAGTTCATTTTAAGGAATATTAGGGTCACCCTCATTCCAGTCACGAACCAAGATACTGAGTGTTTCTATACTTTAGCCCTCAATCATACTGATATTCGTGACTCTGGAGGTACCAGGTACACCACCTAGCGAAGCTCAGTAGATGCGTAGAGCATACAAACCATCGCACCACGTCAAAACACAGCAGCTTTATTTCGACAGATGCGAGGTCCCCACGTCCACTGCACTGAACTATACGTGCCCATAGGAAATTAGTGCACAGTTTACGGGCACTGTCGCTAGTGGAATTGTCAACCGTTGTTCAAGGTTCTGCTGCTGCGTATCAATTACTGTATTCTCCGTTTCGCCGAGTCTGTCGCAGTAAACCGGTTTAAACCGGAGCTTTTTGCTCAAAATAACTATCGGTCAGCCTGAAATTGCCATGGATGTGATTTACTTTTCTTTGCCGATTTTCACCATTTGACACTTTTATTTGCTTCCCAGTTATCGTTTTTGGCACTGTATAGATGATACAAAATGTATGTCTCTTCCAAGCTTCCTCTTCTCACTGTGTTTCTCAAGCGGTTGTTCAAACACATGGAATCTATGTTTCACTTGACCTGTTGTCTAGCGTTTAGTGTTTTTTGGCGATACAGATATCAGACTGAATCACTCTGTGGTCCGCACAAATTGCTTAGTACCCAACAACTGCAGCCTAACGATTGTCGGTAATCTTTCATGGAGCCTGCTAAACCAAGACTATTGAAAAGCGGTATGTTCCTTCAACCGCCTCTTGCGTAAGCTGTCCTGAATTTAGTCCACTAGACCATTACAAAACTATGACTTAGTACGCCTTACTGTGAGTCATCTAAAGTATAGCAACAACAATGTTAATTGGATGTATAATCTCAGTGCGTATTCTGTATTTTTGCCCCGTGCAATTAGGCCACATTACGTCAGAGTTATCACTGGGCACCATTGACTTGGGCAACAGTAACAAAGTAACTTACCAGAATAAAGACGCATGCTGCGACTCCCCCGTAAACCGTGTGCAATATCTAAAACAAACAAACCGTTTGATTCATGGTGCCACACGGGTAAAAGGCTAAGTCTTGCCAGGTCCCTTAGGATGGTCTGGGTACAATACAAAAGTTCAAAGAAGAATATATTTGCCAACAATGTAAACCGCATATCTGGGGACCTCATCATAATATCCACGTTTCACACATGCAAATCCGTCTACCCCGACTTCGTGGGTGCTGGTGAGCCTTACTAGTAAGCGTTTTGTCGTCACCCGATAAACCCGAGTCATGTCACATGATGCAAGTGATGTTACGCATCGTTGAGTTATTTTTTTAGTGGATAACTTACGCGCAGAAATGACTTATGTCAGGAAAGCACTCTACAGCCGACAAATTCAGTGACATTCCAATTGGCTGTATCGGGAGATCAGTTTCAGCTAGTGGTCCCTTAGTCTCGTGTTGCGGCTAGGTTTCGGAAAGTGGTGGCAAAAATTACGGTTCGTTAAGGCCTGATATGTCAGGATGAGGTCACCCTATTGGTGATGATAACTTCCGTAGTACACTCCTAATTACTTCAAGCGCATTTGGTATGCCAGATGGGACAAACACCTCACATTCGGGTTGTCCTTCGCTTTGGAGTCTCCAGTGCAGCCAGATCGTGTTATAGCCAGGACAGCCAGGCGTAAACCAATTACTCTACATGAGGCGTCATACACAATGGGTATTTGTGGGAAGATTAAAGGGTCGAATCGTCCGAACGCCTTTCGTAAGGGACCAACTTGTCTGCTCCCGGCTTTGGACACCACGGATCGCTTCGAACAGCCGAAGTCATTTTGAATCACTACCTCAAAGTCGCACTCCTGTAAGGTGCTCTTCAAGATCTCGTCTCCTAGCCTGTATGTGTTATTCGGTATAGGGCCTACATGTGCTAGCTGGCTTGCCGAACAACCTCCTCGGGGTGCCAGCTGGGTGGTTCGGGATTTTCCCGTTCCAGCAAATGTTTCGGCTGCAGTGTTCCAGGACGTGGTGCGTTTTCGCCTGGCAAGCGTTCTCCTTATAAAAAGCCACATATGTCCGTTTAACAACACTGTGACGTGGCGGACGTGACTCGCCACTAAATAAAGTCACTGCCCCTTGCTTTATCCTGGCGAAGCATTGTATTCCAGCGACATTATGCTGTAGTTCTGGGGAGCATTGGGCCCGTGTTTGACAAAGGAACGAGCGAAAGGCGTATGAACTGAGCAATCAGTCACCGGCTCCCGATGGGCGCGATTTCCTGAATTCGCTCCGCTACCTTGCGGATAGGCTATTCAGCCAAAGGCTCGGGGTGGTGTCCCCTAAGTCAACACCCTAATTCGGCTTGGGCAACCGGGTAGTATCTCGCCCTCTGACGAAACCATGGACATCGTTGCTTTGTGTTTTCCTTTACTATTTCTGTACCTACGTTTGAATCCCATGGTTTCTGATGGCATTATATCTATTTGTATACCTTTGCAAATATATATATATATATGTGCTAGCTTACACTTGTCCGCGTTGAACAGAATACTGCCTATGCATAGCCATCGAGTAAGTGCAAGCCTACTTGCCACTACAGATACAGTATGCATACGGCTAACAAATTTCGACCTGTGCGTTCAGAAGAATATGGTACAGATATTGCAGCTACTGTGGCTGATCATCAGGCGGAAAGGAAGTAACTGCACTCCGCAAGACCACCTGACTTCCATCATGTGATAGGATGATCGGCATCATGATCACAAGTTAATTTATCTAATCAGTTGAGCCCTAGTTGTACGGATACTTACAACAACTCCCATCCTACCGCACATTAATGTATAAGTCTGAGGATAAATTAATCGAAAGCAACTGTTTGCAGCATCGTGTTTCTGCTTCTCTTTCTGAGTCTTACGTAATAAATGGGCATCATTCACGAACTTGCAGATTCGTATGTGACTATTCAAAAGCGCCGTCTATGTCTCGACGCAGCAGGCTGTGGTCTCCCCGATTACTGATAGCCCGCCATATCTTGTTATCATTAGCAACCAGGAAGAAATTCGATTCGATGGCACGCATGGTCGTTGATGTAGACCAAGAATAAGTGCGGTCTCAGCATGGATCCTTCTGGGACACCGTAATCCACGTCATAGGATAGGACAATAAGTCCCGAACCTGCACCTACAGTCGCTGCTGAAAAAGGGAGTTTCCAATTCACCCAAGGACAAGATTTTCAAAACCATAATGTTGCAACTTTTGGAGAAGGACGCGGTGATCTAAGCGGTCGAAGGCTTCAGAAAAGTCGATACAGATGACATCGGTTCCAGTCCCACTATCCGATATTTCTGTCCAACTACCATCAGTAGGTTGGCGGTACGCGACCAGTGTTGATAGAAGCCGTGTTTCTCCAGTGCTATAGTATTAACTCTTTAAGTAGCTCATTAGTGCCTCAGTAATAATCGACTCCATCACCTCTGAGAGCACTGGGAGGAGAATCACTCGGCCATGGTTAGCGGTTTCCGAACGGCTACCACCCTCGACAATCGAGGTCCTATACCCTGTTTTCACATATCAAAGACCTGTACATCTAAATAGCTTTGAACGAATTGGGGATTATGGTTCGGCTATCTTCATAGATGCCATCATTAACGCTTTCGAGTGAATCTTGTCAACTCCGGGGAGAACTATGGGTGCGTACTAGTGACATCTTTCTCAAAACAGTCGCTGAACTTGACGGACAAATCCTGGAAGATTTTGAGATATAATAATAATAATAATAAAGTATATTTCTCTTGATGATAGGAACTGTGTCTATAGCGGCACATCACTTTGTACAGAAGAATCCATGCTCTTGCATGGGTGACATGCATAGGTGGAGTATTGAGATACGCGTTTCATTTATTAACATTCTGGCGTATGGTTGAAGCCAAAACCTAGTTATGAAAACTTTGGTGTTCATATGTTTTTTGGGCCCCTCTTGGAATAGCTCATCGAGGAATTTTTCCCATGTGAATATAGTACTTAGGGTAGTTAGATCAAGGTAATTGGCAAGTCTGTTTCTGAATGTTGCCACGTTATCACATGACCTGTGTGTTCTTGGTAGTTTATTCCACAGATAGCTATATTTGACCAGGAAGAAATTAGAGCGGACGTTCGTTCTAGCCTTCGGTATATTCAGTGTAAAATCTTTGTTGCGAAGCGCTCGAGTTGAGCAATGTTGTAAATGGAGTGTAGACAGGTTGGAATAGGTCTTTTTGTGTAACATGTTGAAAAGTAGCAACAAGTTGTGCTTCAATCGTCGAATCCAAAGTGGCTCGAGATGAAGTTCATTGCAACGTTCACGATAACTCATAGCAGAGTGTTTACCAATCAGGTGTTTAGTAAATGAGCTCTGCAGATGCTCCACTGCAATTCTGCCACTCTTTCCCATATTGCTGTATATTACGCTGCAGTATTCGAGAATGGGGCGAGTGAGTAGCTTGAAAAGCTCAACTCTAGCACGAGTTGTGTGTATTTTTTGATATGTTGAACATAAACTGTCTGGCACGTGCTACTTGGTATTGGGCCTGTTCGGAGAAATTGAAGGTAGACGTGTACCTAATGCCATGATCTCGCGTGGACAACTGTGTAGGGACGCGCTCATTGTTTAGGGTGATAGACCCTTCAGGGATGCAGCAGCCGTAAGACATGATGCTTGATTTCTCAGCCGAGAGGTTCATCACCCATGTGCAGCACTATGACTCAAGGGAATGTAGATCATCTTGAATGAGCAGTAGTGTCCCGTGAAGCTCGTCACGCCGAAGCTTATAGACGATTTTTATATCGTCAGCAAGTAAAAATGAGGTACCATATTTTACAGATGTGGTGATGTCATTGATGTAGAGCAAAAAGAGCAAGGGACCGAGCACGCTCCCTTGAATGGCTCCACTGATGATTGAGCGTGGGGAAGAGCGATAATCACGTAAAGTGACTATCTGATGACGATCACTCAGGTATGACGATAGCAAACCTAGTAAGGGGTCCCGGATCCCAAAGTTCTCCAACTTTTGTAACATTCGCTTGTGCGGTACTCGGTCGGACGCTTGGTGTATGTCAAGAAACAAGATTACTACTGCATAGTCGGAATCGATTAGTTCTGAAATGTGATTAAGGTAATGCAGTTGACAGGTGGTACACGATCGCTTACTGAGAAAGTTATACTGCGATCTATTGATCATGCCCATAGTATCAACAAAGTTCATTATCTCCATTCTGAACAGCTTTTCAAATAGCCGAGCGATTATCGGAGTGTGGTGGATTGGTCGGTAGTTATCAATCGTTTGTTTGGGACATCCTTTATGCCGAGGCATAGTAAATGAGGTTTTCCATTGGTATGGAAAGTGACCAGATTCCAGCGATAGAGTGAACATGCTCATCAGGAGCAATGGTATATCAGGCCCTCCTAGTTTTATGGTAGTTGGTGAAATGCCATCAGATCCCAGCTTGGAAGATGACCTGATTGATTTAATAACTTGATGCATAGCGTTGAGCGAGATATAGACTCTGCTTAAGAGGTTTGTTACTGTGGGCTCTGTGCACACAGGCACCCGGTGAGCTTCGTGATTCATGGTAGAGGCAAAAAAGTCATTGAATGCTTCACAGCTTTCAGCTGGGTCATGGAGTAAGTGACTCTGACCATCAACAATTTCGGTACTCAGAGGAGAGCGGTCATTCGTTCTACGATGCAGGATTTTGTCAAGCTCCCTAGCTATGCAGCTTGTCCCTAGGGCTGTATGAAATATGCCGGTGACCTGTTGCAATTTTAAAGTACGCTGCAGTCGTAAAACGTTTGCTGCGTCTTCAGCGCTTCGAGCACATATGTTTGCTGAGATGAGTGGGGGAATTCCACACTTCGGTCTCCACAGGCTTCTCACACACTAGTACGGTAGCTTATTAATGGCGCAAAATATTTCTCCTAGACACTTCTGGTGTGCTTATTTTTTGTCCACAGACAACTGTGGTGCAAGCACTGTGTTTCGTCAGATAGTTGATCCCGTTTT